CACTTCCAAATTGTGGCATAGGAAATGCTAGCAAAATGTCCTGGTTGTTGTCTAGATTTACTATATTTTATTAAATGAAATCATTAGTTGCAAATGAGTAAGCCTGCAAAGTTACTAACTGCTGTTCAGCATAATTACAAAAAAAGTTTGAGATTCATCTTATTAAGCAACAAAGCCCCAGACAGTTCAGTACTGAATTCCTGTTAAATTGTTTTGGAATTACCCAATGTAACTGCATTGTGGTACACACATAACACACATATTGCAGGAGCAAAATTAAAGTGACATCCATACTGGTCATTAATTTATCCCCTGACTATAGGTAGATTAAGCTTTTGTGACAGGTCTCCCTGTTTTATAGGATATTGGTCGACTTTTTCATCCCTACCAGCAATTATTTATGAATCATACTCTTACATGCCCCCCTCATTGCAGCACTTACAGCATATCATGACTCATCAGCAATTTTCCCCTGGCATGATTTGAGGGGCGGGAAGAAAATGCCAACCTGCCATTAAACTACACCAGATAGTCTTTCAAGCATGACTTCTAATTATTATTTTCCCCTTCTTCTTTGATGACTTGAGGAATGGCTTACTCATCCACATTAAGGCAACTTTTCATTCTTCATTAAAACATTATGAAAATTGAGATTTCAGTTGAATGCTATCAGAAGTGGAGAAGTTAGCTGCTTGTCTGAAGTGTGCACTGCATGTGTGTAACACTCGAGAACTTCATTTACTGATCTGTTGAGTCGCATGATGAACTTTCAGCTTCTTGAAGCGATAAATGACACCTCTCCAAGAAAAACCAAAAGCAGATTTTAAAAGGGCATGTTGTTGAGATCTCTGCGCAAGCACAATAAGAGGTAGCAAAATGTAAAGCAGGACTGAACTGTGCTTTAGAAAAGGGTGTCTTCCTAACTTGAACTTTTTTATTTTCTTATGTGGACAATAATTTCTTGCAGATACACATGCTGGCACAAACACAGGCCTGGTATGGATGTAATACAAAGCTATAGTTTAGGTTGGTAATACCTAATACTTGTGTGCTACCACCTTGCACTGCTTTGACTGTTTAAAGTGGTACGATACTGCTTTAAAATGTAGAGTGCAGATGGGGGTCACAGTTTAGTGCTACATCTGTAGTATGCCCCAGAGTCACCGCCACTTATCCTATGGGGAATACATTTCCATTATTCAGCACAATCAGCATACTATTATGCCACTTGCTTGCTATGTGAAATGGAAACAGCTACCAGATACTAAAACTCAGCAGGGGTAAGAATGGAAAAGTATCCTACTGTAGCAGAGGAGGCAATTGGACTTGGACCCCAACTTTATAAACATAATTAGCACAATGATCACTATCAACATATATAAATGCAATGAGGTTTTTTTTTTAAAAAAAAAACAAACCAACCACTATTCTTTTATAGTCAAAAAGTACTTGCCTACTAAGGCATACTGAATATGAAAAAAAATATGACAGATATGGAATGGATATAAACTACCCACATTTAACTTTGCAGGTTGTGCTTGAAACTCGTTTCATCTCCTGTACAAAGTATGTACAATGGCACATACAGGGATCTTGGCATTATTAGCGCCACGCTCTAACCAACTGTGCTAACCAGCCCCTTAGTCTCCTGTAGAAGTAGCATTTTTAAGAGTGTATGTTGCACTGCCTTGACCTTTAACTTCCACAGCACATGTTAGCCATTGACAAATTATCAGACCAGATATTTGTATCCAAATTGGATGCAGCATGAATTTTACTCAGAGGGGTGAGGAAAATATAGATGAAATAACGTTTTATTTATGTGGCTAACCAAATAATTTACTAGACAGCCATTCCCAAATATTTAACTAAAGAGACCTACAGATTTCTGATGATGTTTAGAAAGCTATGTATCTTCCCCCCTCTTCTTTCATTAGTCCCTTGTGTTGCTTTGATTGACTCCCAATAATCCTATTATTTGCCACATGGGAAACATTCTTCTAATATAAAAATGAAAGGAAGCTAGCATTTGCTATGGTGTGGTTACTTTCGCATTCAATGGCATGCTGCTATCTTGGGTAGCAATCATTTTTAAATAAAACTAAAACAAACGCTGTATCTCGTTCTTTCTCCTGCTCAAATCCCTCATTTCCACTCTGTTGAGATCATCCGACTATGCTCATAGTGATCTAATCTGTTACATAACCAAAACACACAGAGGCAAAGTCTGCAGTCCACTCAGCGCTGGAAGCTATTGGGACTTCAAAGGGAGGATCTGTATGCAAGACAGCTGCAGAACCAAGCTTTTAATAATGAAAGGATATGCTAAGAAAAATAACAGTAAGATGCTGGTTCTTAGGAAGAACTGCCCAAAAGCTTAAAGTGTTATTTTTTAACAAAATTAAGGACGTTCAGAGACAGAAGAGATGATGTATTTTCAAGAAATATGTTGGAAACATCCCTAGAGTTTATTCTCCCCAACCCATCATTTGAAATGAGTAGAATATTGTCTGCTTTATTGAAAATGGGGTTTGCCTCAAAACATTTGATTTGGTTTTTCTGTTTTAAGTTGGAGACCGTGGGTTGTATTCAGCTAAGTGCTTCTCAGAGTAAACCCACTGAAATTAATGAATCTAAGTTAGTCATGTTTATTAGCTTTAATGGGTCTACTCTGAGTAGGACTAACACTGAATACAACCCAAGATCATTGGGAAACTGCTATTATTAAGATGAATATATATTGGATTATAAGACTGTTTTGGAGGGAACACATTATCTTGACCCATTACAGTCAATTCAGGCCTGGGTTTGGGACAGACTCAGCCTCGGTATGAAGAGGGGTTGCAGTGTGAGCGGCAATCACTGCCCCTGCATGAATAGCAGAGCAACCTGGGATCCAAGCCAATGGCAGCATGTGCTTGCCAGGAAAGGACTGTGGGCTGCACTGGAATCTTCTCTCCCCCAAATTAGGACTGGGATCAGGATAAGGAAATTATTTTCAGTCCTGTAGTGCCAGTGCAACTCTGCAGTTCAGGGATCCTAGTTCAAGAATGTGACACGGGGCTTGATTTACTTTTCCTGGATGACCTCTTCGGTGGTTCTGTGGTTCTCAGAATTCTTGTGCGCTCAGTACCAAATTTAGTGCTTCTTCTGTGTTCCCTATACCATACTGGCTCTGCCATTGATTGAGAGAGCACTGGAGGCTTATGGTGCCTTCCTAATAGCTAAAAGAAGGAGAAGACACTTCTGCAAGCAGACAGCACAACCTGCATCAGATTCTACAGTGCAACTTCTGCAGTTCCACAAACCTTGAACCCTAATTTCCAGCTAAACCTGAAGTAGAAAACTCTCAGCTCTCTCATTGTCTCCAAATCTGAATGGTAAAACATTTTAACTGTTTTTCTCTAATTTTAGCAAAGCTTGAGGGTGTTGCACGATGTTACCTTCCCCAAGTTCTGACTGCATCACATTCCGAGAGAGAGAGAGAGAGAGAGAGAGAGAGAGAGAGAGAGAGAGACTCCTGGGTACCAGGGTAGCATTTCCCATTGTTAGCTCCCTTTGATAAAACATCAACAGATCATCCTGGACTATTAGCCAGGAATCAACCTGCAGAGATGGTCAGCCAGCAACCCTCACACAATATGGCAGCAGTGGAGAACCCAGGCCTGCTGGGCCATTTAGGCCAAATCACACTCACCTGCCTTATTATGACATCAGATAGTGGTCAGGTAGTGCTGTGCTTAGCAATCTGCAAGCACAAACAATCAGCTGAAGATCAGCCAACTGTCAATGCTTTGTGGGCTGTGTCTTCACCCACATGGTTTCATTTCAGAAAGTGTGGGTAAAGATAGGTCGCCTGGTGTGAGGTAAGTGGACCTTCCCATTGGTCAGATTTCACCCACAGTGGTTGGGAAAGATCTGGCCAGCTACCCAGAACAAGTTACCCTCCCCTGCTATGTAGCATAGATAAAAATAACATGAGACAGGCAATACCCCCAACAATACCCCCTGCTTTATGACAGCAGTGGAGAACCTTTGGCCATTCAGATGTTGTTGAACTACAATGCCCATCTGCCCTAGCAAGCACAGAGAATTGCCAGGAGTGATGGGAGCTGCAGTTCAGCAACATCTGGAAAGCCAAAGTTTTCCCACACCTGCTTTATGGAGAAGATTATATGAACTTGTATTGAAAGGACAAATAGTTCCACATGCCTATGGCCGCCTTTTGGACTTTATTTAGCATATAAAAATGTATGGTTTGACTTGTGTTCCCATTGTCCTTAGCTGATGTTGGGGGTGAGTAGGAATCATTGGTGATACGTATGTTTGATATAGACTTCGCTGTTTCAGCAGAAATGTCTGAGAAAACACAATTGTGTCAGTTTTTCTAGGAGCCATGAAACTTTTTCTCTCTTTTGTAGGCAGAGAAGACATTTCTGCAAACAGCTGGCTCCTCTCCTAAGTGCTGCACCTCTTAGTTATTTGTATCCAGAGGAATGCAGGCAAGGAAATATATGCCTTTTTTGAAACACAATCTCTAAGGGGAGGCTGTGACCAGCAAAGTGTCTAGCCTGTCTACAAAATGAAAACCTTTTCTATTGCCTACCAAATGAAAGCGGCAGCATGTGCATATCGATCGGTCACTTTAATTTTAAATTTCAGTCTTCATTGTAAGAAAGACTATCTTCATTATCATTCTAATAGCCACATTTTAAAATCTTTGCAAACCCTTTCAAACTATTGATCTTGAGGTGTTTGGGGAGAATTGACATCTGTCTGGTGTCCACCAACCTTCCCCTACAGCTGTTTTGGGGTATTGCATCTATCAGCCCCAGTCAGCATAGTAGTCCAAAACATTTGGATGGCACCGAGTTGGGTAAGAGTGTTGGAGAAGATGGGGAAAACAATCAAGAATGACAGGGCTACTCAACACAAAACTTAAGAGTTTCTGTATCAGGTGGGAGGTGGGCTGTGGAGACACCACACACAGCTCTACTTACCAAGGCAGACATCGGAGAATCACAGTATCCCTTTGAAACCAGTTCAAGTGGATATGAGCACTCTGGAACCAAGCATGTGATGGCAAATATTCTGAGAAGGAAACACAGAGAAGAAATCTCAGCCACGAATATTTCCAAACTCTTGATCAACTATTGCAGTGATCAGAAGAGTAATTATTATGCATTTTCAAGACAACTCAGAAGCTGGACATCCTTTAGAAGGACTTTGTACACAGGAGGACTCTGCGCTATAAAATATCGCTCCAATAATCATAAAAAGGTTAACACTTTCTCACTATTGGTGGGGTTTTTAAGGATGGAATTCAGCATCCTGCTAATACAATCATTCCATCAGCATTTATGCTTCCCAGATGGAACAATGTGCCTCACCTCCACGTGCTGTTATGGAACTTCTCCCAACCCCCAAGAGATGATTTGGAGGAGGGCATGAGAGGCAGAGAGGAAGGAAAGCGCTGTTGCACTAGCAGGAGTCCTTGTGTTGGCTCCTGCTAGTACAACGATTTAGTTGAATTGAAACCTAAATATTAGGTTATATGACTTTAAATATTACATTTTAAAAAACCCAACTTATTAGTATTTTTTTAAAAAACTGGCTTTTTAATGGATTACCACTGTTTAGTCATTGGCTTTGTTGGTCTCCATTGTTAGCCAGCAAAATATTGTATTTCACCATTTTCTTTGTATGTATTATGCAAATAAATGCAATACACATGTGGTTGTGGGTGTTTATAAACCTGATGGTTTGTGACAGAGAAAATGAGACCTGAATACTTCCCTTTTAAAATGTAATCAGAATCCTGAAGAGAAGCAGGTACCTCTCCTAAGCAAAGTTTCAACCAAGTGAACAAGTCAAATCATCAGTGGCTTTTCAAATATGCCATTTTAATTTTAGTTGAAAGAACAAGTGCTGACTTTGCTCGATGTTCTTTAGTCTATGATGTTGCTCAAAACAACCAGAACTCGTATGTTCACAAATCCTTGGGTACAACCATATCAGTTCAACTCTACGGCAGTCTCAGTCCTAGGCAATTTGTAAGTGAACTCATCACATCTTTGCTTCAGATTCCATTAGGGTTGTGTGTCTGTCTCTCTTTACACTCAGGCCTTGCCAGTATGTAGGATTAAACGACTTTCCAAGGTTGAATAAGCCACCATCTGTCTGTTTTGCATGGTGCTGTTTGCCATCCGGGAGGCTTGTCCCTCAGAGCGTGTTCCTACCATATGTCACCCTCAAGTGATCAGCCATGCCAAGACATTTGAGGGGGGGAATGACTAAGTCTAGCTGGAAAACCCTCTCTAGAATTCCAGAGGAGGTTCTCCGAGGCTGTGTTTGTCAAACTGTTCAATCCTTCCTAACCTCCTGCGATAGCCATCTGCCAGGAACTTTAGAGATATGTTGTCCAAAAGCAGAAACCCATTCTGTTTGGGTGATGTAACAATACGCCATTTGCTAGCGACAGCTCATGCAACTTTAGCTGTTTTAAAAGGCAAAATCCAGCAAATGCAAAACTGAACAGAGTTTAGAATGCCATATTCATCCTCCTATCTAACCAACCACACTAATATGAAGTATAAAACCTGTTATGCCTTGACGAATCAACAAAGGAAAACTAATGAAACACCAATTTTTCAGTATTGCGAAACAATTCCAAACAGTTCCAAACAAATAATCAGTGAGTGGTAACCAATGATCTCTGTCCACCAACAGAAGGAATCAACCAGTGTAATGGGGGAAGCACACAATTTTTAGGAATTCCGCTACCCTGCAGCCCCTCATGCATACACACACACACACACACACACACACACACACACACACAATAAATATTCTCTGGAGAATTGGTGCCTTCTCTTACAATAATCAAACAAAGGATACAAAAACTGATCTCCAAACTTTTAAAGATAGACTTTCCCTGGGAAGAAGTTTCCCAGCTAGACTGAATGATTTAGGGATAATCTGTCAACAACAACAAAAATATGACTCATCATACTACTCAACACACAGAAAGCTCATCGTGAATAATTGCTCTTAGTTTTAACTCCCTCATTTATGTTGTACATAAGTTGCTGCTTGAACATGTAGCATGAAGTTTCTACACCTCAGTGATAAGCAGTCATATTTCTAAATCAGAACAGTCTTCTTAAGATTTATCCTAGTGATAATGAAATCAGTACCAAAAAGGGTGTTCAATGGTAACTTCCCTGGCTAACACTTTAAATTTCCTCCCCCTCTCCAAACCTATAATAACAATAATGTCACATTAGATGGGGAACTGTGTATTCCCAAAGTGTTTTACAGTAAGGCAATTTTGCTTAATCTGGAATGTATTCTCATCAATATAATAGTCAACTGGTGCTCCCTACCTTTATAGGTCAATTTTGCTAGATTTTGCATTTCACCATTTATCAAAGCATCTATCTTACAGTATGGCATTTATAAGAATATCGAGAGACGTAATACTAAAGTGTCTGGGCTCAAAATGAAATGGATGAATACTGACAGTATATTTTTAGAATAGTGAGTCCAATTTAGAAGTATTCTTGCGGCACTTGGTCCAAATCTGGATGCTTCTCCAGGCTCAAGGTTCTTATTGGCACTTTGTGTTACCTAATCCTTTTTGCTTACAAGCTGCTGTAGTTGCTTCTAAAGCTGTGGTGCCTTTTTCCAGCAAGCACTGGAAGAGTGGGCCTGTGAAGGCCAGGCTTTCTCTTTTTTCCATTTGCAGAGCAGCATGTGAAGGGTGCAGTCTCTCACTACCCAGATTCCCCTGAAGCACAGCAGAAGCACACCTCATGTGCTTTCTCCTTTGGTGTGCCTTGTCAACATGAAATCACCTTCCAAGGCCGAGCCAATATTGTTTAGACAGCTTTGTTGTTGATGGCCGTCTTGTGGCCCCTGTTGAAAAGGCAAAACCTCATCTGTTGAGTCTTCCTTTGCCTTCTACCATATTTCCCAGATGTTCCTTTTTAAAATCTGCCTATATATACTCCTTCAGGATTGTTCTTGTGGAATAATTTCCATGGAGCAGTTCCATCCTATGCGATGTTTACCGTAAATCTTCCTTGCAGCCAGCGGATTTCTGTACAAACTTGCCTGGGGGTAGCCTTGTCCTATTTTCCTCTTAGATGGCTTTGGCATTTACAAAGCTTGAGAGATCATGCTTCTGAATTTTCCAGTCTGAAGAGCTCAAGCCAAAACAGCAGGGAGGACAGCAAACCTGCTCTTTGTTTGGCTTAAGGCAGCTGGTTCTGCTTTTCCTTTGACCTGGAGCGATGGCATCATTCCTGAGATTTGATGTGAAAGTAGTAGAGGCAAAAGAGAAGGCACACTTTTCAGCAGAGGAGTGTAATCTTGGTTGCTTTGAAAGTACAGCATCAAACCTCAAAAATGCTGGTCTTTGTGCTTGCCCTCATCTCTGGTACAAATTCATATTTGGTTTAAAGTTTTAAAGACTGTATTGGGGTTTTTATTTAAAAAATATATATGTGTATCTTACTAGTTGGTGATATGGGTTATTTTATTCTAATTTTTCGTAACAGCAAGGTTTTCCCTAGAGTTTTAGAGAATAGTTAATGATCTTGCTGCTGCATAAAATTTATATTGCAGTACAGTTGTATGAAACTTTGTATGCATTTGATTCCATGTTGAAATGCCCATCTTGACACCCTGCTAAGTCAACTTGCCTGTCTACATCTCTGCTGAGTAATATGATGGCCACCAGACAACAACTCAGCTAATCTGTAAGCCAACCTGAAAACTGGTGCTTCTCCACAAAGTCCAACTAGGCATATTTGAATAACATAAACATTTTAATAAATATAAGGCATGACCTGTGGAGCACATCCTTTCCTAGAAATTTAAATTAGTGCTTCAAACCAAGTTTGAATAAGAGTTACAGACCTTGATAAAAGTGTTAACCACTGTGCAGATATAACTCTAGACCAGAGTTAAAATTAAAAAGAGGAGAGTGAGGGCAGCATGGGAATCCATGATGCACTCCCAATCTACTTAAGCATGGTTACGAGAGCAGAGACTTCTTCTCTGTGTCAAAGCTTATCTTACAAATGTATAGTTCTAAACATGAGAGCCACTCTAACATGAATCAGTTCATGAGCTTGGATGTTGTTGGATCACAACTCTCATCATCCCTCACCATTTTAAAAAATGTATTTTTTAAAATGTATTTTAATTTAAAAATGTATTTTAATTTAAAACATTCCTTACCTACTCTTCATTGAACAACCATTTTAGAGTAAGTTACAATTAAAACCACTTCAGATTCACAATGCTGTTACAAAAAGCAAGGCAGGTAAGTCAAAAGCAGTGAAATAAAAATGTAAGTATTTCCACTAGAAGCCTGGGCTAATAACCAGGTCTTCTGCTGGGATCTAAAAGGGTAGGTACTAGCTGTACCACAGTCACAACTGGTCATGCTGGGACAAAGGTAAACTAGAGTCCAACAGTGTCAGGAGTGCCATGGTTTCCCCATCCCTGTTTTAAGCCAAACTACATCTGAGGAGGCTCTGTTCAGTAGAGCACCCCTAACATCTATTGCATCCATGCAATTAGTTGTTCCAGTTTCCTTGCCAGCTCCAATTTCACACTCCACACTGAAACCTGTTTCTTTCACCATCACATCTAGACAGTGGGCCTTGGGTTGCAAGGCGGAAGGAGGTATGCTTAGAATCCAGATGGTCTATAACTATGCCTCCATTCCCAAATGCATGAGGCTATCTTGATGATTCAGTCATCTGAGGAAAAGTACTCTCTACTGGTAGGAAGCTGCCTTATACAGGGTCAGACTATTAATCCACCTACATCAGTGTTGTCTACACTGAGTGGCCAAGGTTCTCCAGTTCTAGACAGGAGTCTTTCCAACCACTAGCTGGAGATGCGAGGGGATGAACTGGTGACCTCCTGGATACAAATCATGTGTTTTTCCCACTGTGGTCTCGAGTCAAACTGCTCCCAAGTCAACCTGCATGTGTTGTGAAGTACTAATGTGTCAAAGAAACAATTCAGGGCCCAATACTGTCTTCTGCAATTCTGGAGTATAATGTTGGCCAATG